CACAAAACATTTGAAGTTCATATGGAAATTGCTATTGGAAAACCAAACTATTTGTTCATTGTCTTCTAGCCTTTTTCCATATTATACTGTTAACAAGTTCTATTGCTATTCTTATTGGAAATTTTCTCAGCTTCAACATTGCAGAAGATCGTTTTTCAGCCAAAAGTCAAACTAAATAGTTATTAATTATTTAAGAGATAAATTTATGGCATGATTATGCAACTGTATTGTGGGCAACACTGTATTCTGCAGTGTGACATAGTAGCCATGATTTTTGTCCTCTATTCTTCGCGCCAGAAACACCAATGTTGCCTGCTGAACAGTGGATGGAGCATAATTATAAGACATCAGTGACTTTAAGCATTAATAACTTGTGTTTCTTACATTTGATCGAAAAGTGGTCTTCAACAAAGTTGTAGCTGAGAAAATGTTCAACAAGTGCAGCTATCATTTTCTAAAGCAGAGCGAACAGGTGAATTTTGAGGTATTTATGAGCGAAATTATGGTTTTCCCATAGTAGTTTCCATATAAACTTCAAATGCTTTGTGCCAAGTCAGTTTCTTACTAAATGAGTTCAAATTTTGCGAGGATAATCAGGACCTAACTTGGAATTGTTTGAGCACTGTGGCGCGATAATTTCAAATTTTGCATCAGTCTAATGCTCCATGGTAATAGGCTGCCATAGCAACCCACGGTTCGGTACACGGTCAACGGCTCCAACCATGATCTCGTCAATTACGATGAGGAACAGTAGCGGTGATAATATACATCCTTGCCTCACACCCGCGATTACCCGAATCGGGTCAGACAAAACTCCGTCGTGCAACACTCTGCATGAGAAAGCCTCGTACTGCACTTCGATGAAGTTGACGATCTTATCAGGGACTCCCTTGCGTCTCAGAGCGCCCCACAAGTTTTCGTGGTTTAGTCGGTCGAAAGCTTTATCGTAGTCAATGAATACCAAGCACAGGGACTCTTGGAACTCATGGTCCACACAGGATCTTCCAGTGACATTTCTAAATATATAATTGAACCCTTTACAGCAAATTAATACCCTTAGCATCCCACACTTCATTTATAAATAGTGTTTCCATTAGCTTTGCTCAAAATAAATCCCAGGTAGCATGGACCGTGTAATGCCAACGGAGTTCATTCGGCTTTGACATTAAAATGTATCCCTTCTCACGCAGAAGAGTAATCGCTATCGCATGTGTTTGGCTCCTAAGCGAGCACGAAAAAAAAAGACAGAACAATTCCAATCAGTCTACTTCCAGTCAGTCTATTTCTGAAGAGGCCCACACGGAACCGTGCTTCCTGCAAATAAAATGAAATTCCCTTCGAATAATCCCACTTCCATCCGCCATTCAATGAAACGAGATAAACTCTCATGCACAGGCAAACGCAGTCCAAAAATAGCTTCATCTCTTTGTCGCTTCCAGTAATATTTGCTCTGGAAGCTTTCCGTAATTTTGTAGGCCACCCATCCGGATCAGGGAATCAGAGCAATTGCGACTCTCTTCATCGAAAGTTCAAAACTGACAGCCGATTCGTCTGCCTCAACGAGAAAGTTAAACGTATCAACTCTTATCACACTCCACGAACGTCCAAAGTCCAATCCCAAAAGCGCAGAAACTTTTCCAACAGATGAACATTCAACATCTGCTGCTGCTGCTGCCCACAGCCTTCGTTCATCACACCCAGTCAATGTATCGACTTCATCTATGTAAATATCTGCTTCTGCCACCCACCCCCCCCAGTCGTCTTCGCTACTTCGGAACCACTTTCCCGGAAGGTTGGAAAAAGGTGCCAGTAAAGAGCTCCGCCCCCATCATTCGTCCTTGTTGCCTTCGTTGGTTCACCTCAAGGCATCATCCGCCGCAGCAGCGTCAAGATTCGAGGCAGTCGAAAAACTTTCAACTCTTTACTGCTGCTGCAGCTCTTTGCTGAGACGTAAATTCTTGAAATTGTTTAATACGACCCATACCGGATCGCCCGTTTTTTGCTGATGCTGTAACGACGCCACCGGGAAAAAGATTATTTACATTTTGACAAATGTAAATGTACGCGGGATGCTTGCGGCGATGCAGGCCCCAACGGGTTTTGACACCTCCCCCGCCCCCTGTTCCCCCAATCGTTGTTGTTTTTCTCCAAGATGTGTCTACCTTCGGGCGCAGGAAGCCTGGAAATGTTGGCGTTTGATGTGCACTAATTGAGTTTCGGGAAAAATGGGGTGAATAATTCCTGATAAATTATTCACGCAGTGAAGTCCTTCTTTAAAGTTTCTATCTGTCAGACATCTTCTACGACACTGTAACAAATCTAATTGTTTTCCGCGTTTGAACCATTAAATCGGAAGAAACCGTATTAGGAAGCGATTTATGCTCGTCTCGTGTACCGCATACTAATTGAGAGAACTTAATCATAGGATACACTGCAGTGCCATAGCCATTAGGTGCTTCCTTCCAAATTTGCAACAACCTCTGCTAGCAGCAGCAGCATCGTCAGTGCACTCACCATTCTGTGGTAGACCCATAATTATTTTATTTTTTTCTATGGGTAATAATCGTGGCTGTTTGCAAATACTGTGCATCGCAGCATTCGGTTCGATGAGGATGTTGCCAATCGTTTAAGAGGAATCTATGACATTCGTGTAGGTATCTCAGGCGGAAATAGATGTTTTATGTGCGTGGTTTTAGAATGATTAGGTTGGAATTGGCGGAATCGAGTGTGACATTAAATACGTCTCAACAAGCAGAGCATTTCAATTAGGGTAAGACTGGAACGCTAATTAGCAATTGCGTATCATTGCGACTATTAATTACGTCCTCGATGGTTACTTAAGCGGCCCTCATCGGGGTCTGTTTAAGTGCACAAAGCATCGTTTCGAAGTTTTATGAGATTGTCAAATTAGATTGTTTTTCCGACGATCACACTATAGAATCTGTAGAAACGATCTTTCTAGCTTTTTGTCATTGATCCGGGAATCGAAAACAACCGTGAAACTCTTTGATTTTATACGAGTTTATGATTCCATGAGATTTTGGAGATCTATATCATCAACATGTTAATGCAAATCTCATCTCATATTTTTGACGTAGGACTACGTCTGTGATTTCTATATGGGGGTACACTTTGTGAAAACCAAAAATGGAACATATAACAAAATTATGAAAGATTTTGAACGTTAATAACTCAGCTGCCCCTGGATCAATTTTAATAATTTTATCACCAATCGATCAGAAATATTTCTACGCATCTTTTAAATTTAAGACTTTTCATTTTTCAAAATGTCACTATTGAAATTTGCACGAAAGTGCAACTGTTGCTATAGTTAAAATTATCACTAATTGCCTGCGAAAAGCGATTTCCCTAACACAGATGTCAAAGTTGAATTCCATCCGGTCTCTGTCGAGCGCGTCATACTAAAGAGTACAAACAGAGAGAACCCCGCTCAAATTCCTATTCCTACACAAAACACAAGCTCTTGCTGCAGTTAACAAATAAGATTTATTATATAAGTCCACTTAGTCCTACGTCACCGTTGCGTACAACCCCATAGGGCTGTCCCCTGTAGTTTTTTTTTTCTATAAAGTAGACGTATTGTAGAAATGGAAGTTCTAAGATACTCTGTACCCAAGTCATATATCTTTCTCAGTCTTTGTACCTAAGTTCCATATATCATCGTTAAATATGATATTTGTTTATCATGACTCAGAAGTGTTTGGGAAATATAGAATATGTTCTAGAAACTTCAGAATCGTTTTGATAACTGATGAGCCTTCTGGAGAACAAAAGATTCTGAGAAATCCATTGACATTCTGAGAACTTCAGTAATTATCAGAAAATCTTCGATCTTGCTCCACTATTCTGCAGATCAAAGTCACTTAAGATTACTGTTAGTCTTATAAACCTCACTTGTATCCATTCTTGATGTCTTAAAGGCCTTAGAACAGCTTTCAAATGAACCAACAGACAGTGTCAGTTTGGGAGTTCCTTTTCTAATATTTTGCGCACGCTGCATGTCGTTGTCCCTATTAAGACAATCAAAGTAACCGAAAACAAATTAGCTGCCTTATAGTGGATAGTTTTGAACATTCAATTACATTTTGAATAATTCAATCAATTATCTGAACTCCAATACCTGTGCGTGTTGTGCAACATAATTGTTCAACGTATTCTCTGTGAACATCGGAACGCAAACAATTAGCATCCCTTCGACAAAACCATCCAGCTCAGACCTTGCTCGAGCTCACCCAAACAAAACAATTTGTTTTTGACGATAGGTACCATCTGCGACTGTTGCTCCGAGAATACCTATCCGTAGTGGCCATCAGCAAAACGTTTATAAAATTTACTGTCGTAATTGTGTTGATACCAATCGACGAACCCAACGAAAGGACCCTAAAGTACTAAAAATGTATTTTTTTTTATTGATGGTGCACATTTGACTGAGGCCATACATCGGGCCACATTGCCGGTATCACTCCATCACGGTCGACTGAGCTTTGGGGGTGCCGACTTTCGTTCTGAGTCTGAATAAACAACAGAAATACAGCAACCCACAGGTAGAGGACGACGACGACGACAGCATATTTAGGAAAGTTACCGTGAGCCCACACATTTGACTTGATGGCTGAAGCGGGTCAACAACAGCTTTCTTTCCTTTCTTCTCCTCTGCTGCTGTTTCTGCTCCTAGCGAGCACACCCCCTACCGGCAGACGACGAGGGTTCACCTTTGTCGGAATCCATCAATGAGTATAATTCATCGAAGAAAGAGAATGCTTATTGGCTTTCAGCCTGTCCTGTCCTCTACCCCACCGTCGCCGTTGCGCCGTCGAATCGGACGGAGGAAGGTGAAAAAAAATGATAAAATTCCATCGCTTTCTTATTTGCTGCTGCTCCCTCACCTTTCCTCTCCCTTCGATTCATAACGAGCCGTAACATCTGTTTGGCAGGTAATAAAATACTACAATGTTCTTTTCCGTCTTCTCTTCACGCAGGTACCGGGAAAAGGAGAAGGATCCGCTGGGTTTGGGCGGCGGAAGTGGGGCCGGTATCGGTGAGGGAATCGGCGGCTCCGGAGGAGGAGGTCTTGGTGGACGGGATCCGCACCATAACCAGCAGCAGATCAGTGCCAATCATCGGAACTACGAGCTGGATCTGGAGCGGGACCACGTGCTGCCCACGTCCGCACCGAATGCGGAAATTCTGAAGAGCAACAGTAATCCGACCTACCCGAACCCGAACCGGCACCACGGGCACGACCGGCATCGGCACTCCAACTCGACACCGTATCCGCATGGTGAGTTTCTCTTTCTTTTCTATTTCTATTTGGGAGATTTTATTCAACGAAGTTCAAGAAAGAGCTTCCTAACAATTTGCACATTGAAATTTTGTTTTTGATCGGACCTTTTCCGATCAGGATTGTTTGCTTATTTTGGGTTCTCAATCATAAGATCAAATTTGTTTTGAATTCACATATCGTTTTATGAAGGGTAAAAATTGGAGAGGTGGACCCTGCGGGAAAATAAGGATCTCTTTCCAATAAATGATCTACTTGTCCAGGGCTGGTACCAGGTCACTTTTTTCAAGTCAGTCACTAAAAAGTCATTTTTTACACCAAAAAGTCACTAAAGTCGCTATTTCTTAAAATTTAGTCACTAATGTCACTGTTTTACGACCAATGTTTAGAGTAAAGAATTTGTATTAAACTCTCTCCTTCCCATGACAGCACAGGCGATCCACAATTTTGGTTTAGCACTTTTCTCAAAAATACAATTTTGCATCTGAAAACAACCAAAAGCCTTCTGGAAAGTAAAGAGTTAAAAAGTCACATCAAAATGCTTGATTTGGTAATAAATTTGCGTTGGAAAGATCCATTGAAGATCAGCGTGCTAAATCTGCCTAGAATAGTTGCAAACAGTCGTGTAACGTTAACTGTCCAATTAATCATATCGTCTGGCCATTTTCCACAGAGATGGCGCTGTTCGGCTGGTATGAAGTGATAAAAAGCTCCATATAAAATTTGAGAGAAGTACGAATAATTCGCTTTCGGTGCATATTCAGGTCAATAAAAGTGAACGAAAACCTGAAGAAATTAGTCAGGAACTTTGTCGTTCAGTTTTTTCTTCGGAAATTAATGATACCAGTTTTACCTTCTTTACTACCAGTCCTCCGAGAGCCAAAAAATTCAAATTTGAGAGAGAAAATTCTCTCTCACGAGCTCAATCTTTCAACATGCCATGTATTTTGATGACAGTCGATTTGTGATTTCCCTTTCACAGATTACAAAATAGAGTACCTGTCACTACAAAACTTGTCTGGTACCTCTATATATGCATTTAGTTTAACATTTCAAGTCCCTCCTATTTGTCATACTCTGCGCAAAAGATACTTTATGCCCCGCCCCATACATAAAAATCGGCGGGAAATTCTGTGAGGGGTGAGCTATTTTGTGTGCAGAATGTGTAAAAAGGGAGGGACTTCGGATGTTAATCTAAATGCATATATCGAGGTACCAGACATGTTTTGCACTGCACTGTGAACAATTAACGGAAAACAAATTATGTGTAGTTTCCGATTGATGTCACCGCAAATAACAGTAGTGACATCTGATCGAAAATGAATGCAGAAGCTTGACAAAATGATTAATTCGTTTTGACAGAATCACTAATATTGTAAACCGGAAGAAGCAAGAATTCGAAATCTCAGATTTTTTTTTATTATAGTCACTTTAACGCTCTTGGGTCATTCGTGACTTGTCCGGGGGTGAGATTTGAACTCGTGACTTTGGCGTGAGAGGTATGGCTGCTAACCACTACGCCGGAACCTGAGAAAATTTTCAGTTTCTGTATTACTTATGTAGGTAATTTCATAATTTCTAGAAGATAACTCTTCAATGGATATGTTTGGAATTTTTTGATAATTTCCTTAGAATCATCTCAAGTTCCCCTTGATTCCCTTGAATAATGTTATATTATTCAATATGTTATATGTTAAATACTCTCTGGCATTCCTTTGACTCTTTTGTACCAATGTGCCTTCAAAATGCCATTTTTGGAATTCCGTCCAGGAAATTCATACAATTCAGTCTTCAAAAATCTTTGTATTCTTAATAATTTCGCGAGGTTTACCATAAATTTAACTGAATGATTTTCTTTAAAAGATACCGGTTGGAAATTTATCCTTCAGAGATGCTAAGCATTTTCTTAGAGTTTATCTTAGAATAGTTAAATGATTGCCTAAAAAATGTATGAAGAAATATCTAGGAATCCTTAGGTTTTTTACCAGGAACTTTTCTTGAAATTTTGCTAAGCATTCTTAAATCACCCTCCTGGAATTCCCTTTTAAATTCCGTAAAAATTCTTTAAAAAAATTGTCAAGGATTCTCATTGGAATTTCCTTGCATTCCTTTTCTCAATTCCATTGGAAATAACGTTTTTTTTACCTTGAATACTAAGTTAGACAACTGGGAAAAACCTGGAAAACAGGTATTTTAATTAAGAAATAGAGTGGCCAGGGTGCATTTGTTTCGACATAATTTTTTTTTTCATTGACATGATTTTGAGATATCACATTTTTCCTAGGTTTCGAATAAAAACTGTAGATCCAATATCCTGCCTTTTTACATCGTTATCTTCAAGGTTTCCCAAGCCTAATATGTTTAAAAATGGTTCAGGAAATTTTTTATGCTCTAAAAATCTTTGTTCCGGTAGGTTTAGTATCTGTCAAAACATCAAAAATCATGTAGCATTGACTTATTTTCTAAGTCCCAATAGATTTTAGAAAAAAATCTATTTCCATGATCATGAAATCTCCTCCTCCTGAACGTTAGAGATGTCTTGTATTGGAGATCGTGAATTTCTATATCCCAGCACAATGTTCAATATTTCTAAAATTTATCCGGGAATTTTACTCGTTCCAGAATTTTTCTTAGACTACGATCTAGAACAGCGACTAGACTACCATGCGTCTCCGTTGATTTAAAGCGACTGTATCATGGTCACAATGACATGGTAGTCTAGACGCATCAGGGTATTGAGCGAAAACCCAAAACTTGACAACTTGTAAAAAATTTAACTCAAATCGAAAAACAAACACATTGCTGATTTTTTAATATGTTGTTTGAAAAAGCCTAAATTTTCAAGGAAACATATAAAAACATGTTGTGCCTTCTGTCTACAAACCATGAAAAACATTAAAAAAAAAACAAATACAATCAATGTTTTTCAATACAAAATCCCAATTTTTTAATATCATTATATTATTCTTAAAAATAACCTTTAATTTCTATTAATTTAATATTTTGATGTTTTGAATAGTGATAGTGTTCAATGGTTCAAAAGTTATGAATTTTTGAAGAAAGTCATTTTTGTTTTTTTTGACCACCCTAACATGAAAATGGTTCCCTAATGACAAAATAAAAAAAAAATACGGGTCTAATATTTTGCGATAAAGAACAAAACTACCAATTTTAGCGAAATTCTGAGAGCCACTACATGTATCGTTTTGCTTTGGTATCCTTAATAATCAAATACCATAAACGAACTGTATCCCGGATGGGTAAACTATCCCACAAATAGTTTGGATGATACCCCGAACACGTCGTTAAGCTCTCTTTTATGGTTATTTTTATTAGGGATGGCTGTATATATACAGGGTGATTGGTACTTCGTGTTACACCCAAAAAGAGGTAAAAGTAGACCACATTTGCTGCAAAAAAAAGTATAGCAAGGTAAGTCGAAAAATCATTCCTTACCGAGCTGTTGAGCAATTAATTTTCTACTGATTCAAAGTGCCTCATTTTGCTCGGGTATTCATAAGCAATCAAAAATGTTGCACGACCATGCACGGAGAAAAAATACTACCCAAAATTTGAGTTATTTTTACATAATTTTGAGTTGAGCCTCTCACTTGAGCTCGTTTTTGTTGTCAAAAAATGAACGAGAGATTCGACCCAACATTTTTGATTGCTTATGAATACCCGAGCAAAATGAGGCACTGTGAATCAGTAGAAAATTAGTTGCTCAATAACTAGGTAAAGAATGATTTTTTGACCTACCTTGCCATACAATGTTTTGCTGCAAATGTAGTCTACTTACACCTTCTTTCGGGTGTAACACCAATTACCGGTTACCCTGCACGGCCAACCAGAACGACTCAGCGAATTGACTCAGAGCATTTTCTTTCCTTACGAAATTTACTCATATTTTGGACAACCTGCAGCAACTCATAGCTAATGAGTAACTGCAGGTTTTCCCAAGTATGAGTAAATTTCTCAGGAAAGAAAATCTTCTGAGTCAATTTAATTCAGTCGCTGAGTCGTTCTGGTTGGCTTATGCACACGTTATACTGATGATTATGATCAAACCAAGCTTCTCATGCTACAGTTCAATACGATTAATATTCAACGTTGCTATTTATTTATTTTTTTCTTTGACATGATTTAAAATCAGGGCGGGGTTAGAAGGAAAGGGGTGTAAGTGACTTTGATCCATTCTCTTCATTGAATTTCTCTTTCGTTAATAATTCAGCGGCAAACACATTCCTTGATTCGTTTGCCATTCTGGATGCTAGATGAAAGCCTCCTTTATCAAACTATGTGGCAGACATAGCGCAAAATCTTAGCTTAGCTTAGACTGACTGCACATATCAATGGTTGCTACTCCGTGATTGATCAGAATCAGTGAAATTGTACAATGAATCAACTGAATGGGGCTGGGAGTGACCGTCCATTCTGATTGTACAAGTTTCAGTGACTCCATATTTTGTAGATCAATAACGGCGCCGGCCACGTCCTTGCAATCAGGTGGGAGAAGGGAAGGAATATTAGAGTGACCTTTGTTGTGTGTGGGCCGTGTTTACCTCTGCACCTCAACAAAAAATACAGGAAAGGATATTTTGTTAGTAAGTTGGGTTCGTTGGATCAGGATTCACCTTGATAAGTGATGCGACCATGGTTTTAAATCAATCAGTGTTATCATGCATTATACATGGGTTTGCCTGAAGCCTAAACAAAATGGTGGATCATTATAATATAAATCTGACGACGTTCCATCATCAAAAAGCTGAAAATAAACCAAAGAGCTGAAAACCAATTCAAACAAATCAAATCAACAGACTAAACCAGGGTGAAAGCTGTAAGAGTGAATCATTACAGTATAAATCTAATGATGATGCTGGAAGAAAACTTAAATAATGCAAATCAATAGATCCAGTCTGAATGAAGGCTGAAAAAAGAGAATAATTATACATCAATGACCCCATTTTGTCAGCTAGAACAGTATGTGTATCTTAAACATC